AAAGAGCGACACTTTGAAAGAGAACAGGATCCATTTCCCACACTCTTTGAATAATCCATGTTGCAATTATCACGGTATCACCCTTTTTGAAATTCCACTGGGGGAAGAGTACAACGGCCATCCGCCAAATACCACATTCATTAATGGCACCCAACAGAGAGTGAAGAAGCCAAACAACATCCAACAGCAAAAGAAGAATAAATAAAACTAACAGGAGAGTCAAATACCAAACTATTCTTCATATTGTCTTCATAATTTCCATTGAAATTCCAAAGGATTCAAGGCGCAATGACGACATACCAAGTAAAAGTATCCTTAATGTAATTTACCCTCTTCTTTGCTGAACCTATAAAGTGAAAGAAAAAATAAAGAGAGAAACAGAAAATATTTTTATTAGTTTGCCTCCTGTTTCAAAAGAGATCCCCCTTGGGGAGCGGCAAGCAGCAGAATAGTTTACAGAACACTTTCCCAACATGCAGAGTGAGAATATCTGTTGTATTTTGATAATTTTCTCACCCTCAAAGATTCCCATTACAGTAATAAATTCATCATTTGGGCAGAACAGTAAAACAGCAGGAGAAAATCCAAGGACCTCAAAAATTAATATACGCTATCATTTGTACTGTGTCCCAAAATAGTAAACAGAAAATACAAATAGGAAATATACCGGACAGTTAGTCATTGTTTTGTGAGGCCATACGGCATATTTGCATTACCCTTAAACTCATACTAAAAAAAAAAAACACAACATATTAAAGGAAATATTATCTCACTAATATTTCTGGAATTACAACATATTAAAAAAGGTTCTATCTCACTAACATTGGTGGAATTACAATAAATTTCAGTTTGATCTAGCGTCTTGTTCGTTTTATACGTTTTTCGTTTATTAAGTCTTCGACATTAGATAGTTTTTTTCGTTTGCGCGTATCCTCTAAAGACTCAACGAGGCGAACTGCCATTCCCAAAGACAAGTTCACTTGATACTGATTTACCTTTTCATTCCAGAATTTGGCAGTAGCGTTCTTTTGCTCAACGGTATACTTTCCTGAATTTTTCGAAGTGCACTTCTGCCATCCTTTTATTCGTCTCCTTTCATCAGTGTCATAGGGTTGCAAGTAAATGATCTCCCACGATACTTTCTTGGAAACATCAGTCCAGTCAGAAAAACAATTTTTAAGATATTTATTGAATTCAATTACTGCAGTAACTGTAGTTTCATGTCTTTTGGCAGTTGTCGTTTGTATACCAATCAGTGTAACCCTTTCCTCTTCGGATTTCACAAAATAGAAACCATCCACCAGTGGGAAATTAGATGGAGAAGGACGATAAAGCTTATTGTACTCTATCTTCCTGCTGACATCATTTATACTACTGGGAAAGAGGTCATACCCATTACTAGCATACGCAACCAACCCTCTCTGCTGTAAAACACTCTTCTGTTTCCTTCGACTTTCAGGTGGTTGAATTATTGTCAGTACTTCACCAAGTGCAGTCACAAATTCCCTATTTATAAAAGCAATAACACCAAGTTTTTCAAAATGTTCGGCAATGAACAAGCCCCTATCTGTGAAAAAGAATTTCAAGTATGGGGCGTGACAAATTTCAATCACTCGAACAAATATCTTTTTGCTCAATTCATTAGTAAATGTTTCATTCCTCGGAAGATCGACATCGTCAATGGCCAATCGGTATATTTTTACTAGTTTATGGGAAGGACTATTATCTTTCCATTCACCATCACCTCTGAGGATATCCATGTACTCTGAAACGGTGGGCTTTTTAATGCGATCCAACGTATCTTGCACTCTAAAGCACCGCCCCTCATATGCACCATCACTAAAAATAAAACGTGGAAGTGGCCCAATATTATTAATACGCTCCTTTATTTCCCTCCAATAGTTTTCAAGTTCATTGGATTGGTTGCGCTTCTCCCATGCACATATGGCCTTGATTTCACGCACAGTTGGACAATTCATAACGATGCACTTTGCCAC